AGAGAGAGAGAGAGAGAGAGAGAGAGAGAGAGAGAGAGAGAGAGAGAGAGAGAGGGCAGGGGGCTACCGGGCGCACTTTTTCATGAGGATGCCCGGGTGCGAAGACCTGGACTAAGCCTCGACCAACCCTCCATTCAACCTCCGTGCACCCGGAGATCGAAAAAGTTAGCTGGGGTACTGGTGGTTGAAAACAGTTAGCTGGGCATCTACCGAGTCTTTCTAACAGCTACAAGTGCCTGTTATTGCAGCTAAGCTCACCATTCATCAGAACTTTCCTGGATTCAATTTGTAGTGTGAGAAATTCCATGGATTTTGGAACATCCCGGTGCACGTCATGCAAGTTGTCGAAAACATGGATGTTGGTACTCAATGTTGGATTTGCATTATCAGAACGTGCCAGGGTGCTGGAACGCTCGATTACATATCATGCAGGTGGATGTCTACTTTTCCACTGGGGAACACTGCAGAGCTGTCTGATTAATTGGCATTTTGAAAACGTTTGTGGGAATTGAGGAGGTGATGAGTGACAGTTGTATTGTGCTCCCATTGTAATATCTTTGGGACAGCTCCAAATTACAGATTTGACAGTCCTTGAGATGTTGTTGCATAGTTGCCCCTGGAGCTGTGAGAATTTGAAACCAAGGTAATGTATGTAGTTGTTTTTAATATAAGCAGGATTCAGCAAATAGCAGAAAAATGTAAATGCCATTTGCTGCGGATGTTTCTACCATTGATCTGGAGCATCCGCGCGCAAGACTGCCACATTTTCCACCTCCGCTCCTCCATAAAAACATTAACCACTAAGCCAGCAGGATAACCGATAGCTAGCAGGAGAAATTAGAAAGACTATTTTTCCTCTTGATTGGAGCCCTCTTCAGGCTAAGTTTTGCTATGTTGTTGCAGATACCAGGAAGACTCGCTAAAGACATCACCAGGCACGCTCAGATTCTGGGAAAAGGCACCACTTGAGCCCTATGCTCCCCCAAAGCCGGTGAGGAATTTACTGCAGTGCATCTTCTGTCCCCATTTTGGTCTCTGCGTATTTTTCAATATCTAATGCTAATGCTTGATGTATGCTGTGGATATATTTTCACTGTAGTCCCTGCCGAAGGCTCAACGCAGCAATGTGGGACTGTTGTGGACATAGAACAATAAGCAAAATGATGGCATTGTTTGAACCATTGTACACGACACTGTCGGCTTACTAGTGTCCTATCTTGGCTTCCCTGTTCTCATCTTGCCGCTATCCCATTCCTTCCCCTTTTTCTCATTCCCTCCCTCCTCCCCCTTTCCATCTGCTCTTCGTTCCTTGCTAACTTTGTTTCCTTCTGCTGCTCTCCAGCCCTCCCTGCCTCACTTTCTCCTCTGTCCCTCTCTTTCCTATCTGTCGTTTCCTTCCCCCCTCCACTTTCTTCCTGTGCTCCCTCACTCTGCCCATCCTCATTGATTCCTTTTTTCCTTGCCGCAAGGTTGCAGACAGAAAAAGGTGGGAAATAAATTTCAGAATGGGCCTCACAAGCAGACTTTGTCACACCAGTGCATTTTTGGGTTTCTTTTATGACACACTGGCCAATCCAATGGGCATGGAAATCCTGTTTTTTTGTGGATGAGTAGCCATGTTTAGAAACCTTGTCCGCTGAAGTGAAATCAAGGTCTGTCCAGCAAAGATGAGCAATGGGTAGCCAGACCCACACCCACCTGCACCCACTGGACCCATGAGCGGGTGGGTCAGGTGTGGGTCTAAATTAATCGGCCTGGCTTGGACGTGGGTGGGTCAGGTGTGGGTCTAAATTAATCGGCCAGGGTGGGTGATGGGCAGGTCAATGTTTGGCCTGGGTCACCCGACGGGGTGTGCGACAGGTGGGTGAGTATTTGGCCTGGGTGACCTGACCCACGAAACCAAGGACAACCCACAAAGACTTCCCCACCATCCCCACCTCCCAATTTCCCGGAGGAAAAATGGACTGTGCCTGGTCCGGCTGCCCACCCCCTGTGGACCAAGCAAAAGAACAGTGGAGGCCTCAAAAATGAATGGGCTCCATCCGCACATTTGGACTAGATGGAGCCAATCTAACCTCACTAGGCAGCAAGATCTGCTCCCTAATCCGAAACTACTGCCACCACAGTGAGAATCTCTTGACAGGTGGCGCAAGGCGGATCAGCGACGAGGAGACAGCACAATGAGTTTGACGAATCGCATGGCATTGTGTTATGTACCCGATTGAACTTCAATCCACAACAAATTCACACGTTCCCATAAACACGTGCTATTGCAGAGAACTGCAGAGCGGAAGCTCAATACACATTAGAGAAGTGAATAACGAATTTCAATTCGTATTCATCACCCATCCTCCTCCAATCAATTCAGAGTACTTCATCACAACTGCGTTCACAACAACCCAGAACAACCGAAAACAAAGTATCAACGAAGTTTTCAGGAGTCCTCTTCTACCTCCTCGCCACCTCATCACCCTGGCTATGGCTGCCGTAGGAGCAGTCACCTCCACAGCTGTCACAACGTGCCAATCTGAACCGGCAACCCCAGTGACAGGAGCGCCAGCTCAGCGCCCGCACAAAACTGCAGTGCTGGAAGTCCTGATGAAAAAGGAGACAACCAATCCAAGACTCTGTAGAAGGTGAAGTTCCTCGAGAGGAGGAACAGCGGATATGGCTGCCAAGTGGAAGACAGCAGCGCTCAAACCCAACAACACAGTCCTGTGGAAGCTCTGATGCAGAGTTGCGAAATAGCAGCAGTGCAATCTTCAACTTCGGTTCCCAACCCCAGCTATGGCTGGGCTTCGAGGAAGAAGATGACCTCGCCCAAAATAGCACAGCAGCGCTCCAACAACAGACGGCCAGGGTTTCCCCAGCAGCACCAAACAAGAAAAGACCCGAACCAGATTTCCTGCCCGCTACTTCTACCCTCTGCCTAGACCTACGGACTCCAAAGGCAACAACCCAAGACTCATCTGTATGCAGATGGAAACAGGGGGAAAAGGGGACCTAGACCCATGACCAGGCAAAAGGAAAAGGCCGAATGGACTAAGACTACCAAACAGAGACTACTAGTGACAGACAGACTCAGGGATCAAGTCCCATAGGGCGCATCAGTCACAAACAAAACACACGAGTTACAGGCCATGGGATTAAGTACCCCAAGCTCAAAACAAAGAAACAGCCAGTAAACAAACTACACAGCAAACACTCGGTGTGCAACCAATAACCAGCGCAAGCGGTGGGAGAAGTATGAGCTGTAGGATCGCTAAGCTTGGATGGTTGTGGGGAATGCAGTGGTCTCAGAATCTCAGAGGGTTTATAGGGAGATTATCCGAGTAGATCGCTTAGTTGAATGCGAGGGTATTATCCAGGTAATCAAATTAAGGTAACCAATCAAATTCTGAAAATCGGACTGTTGAGGTTCAGATTAACAATGTGGGTTAGTTAGTTGAATGTGAGGGTATAAGCCCGGTAATCAACTTTTCTGTAACCCATTAATTATGGAAATCTGATTATTTTCTGTCTGGACTGGGTATCAGTTAGACTCCTCAACTGCTGATCTGTGTATCTGCAAGCATGATACACAGATTCTTCCCAAAATAGGGGTAGTATCTGACAAGATCTGTAAATGACAGAGTCATGTGTAGGGTAGGTCTATCTGAGTAGAGAGTTCAGTCACAAACAGATTTGACTCTGGCCAATCAGGCTGAGACATCACTGGGACAAAGCTGAAATCAGACTCGCTTTCATTCACTATTCTCATACATGCAAACAGGTGCGCAGCAAACTGGCGACAAGCGCCCACTCAGAACTCAGAGATATGGTAGCCAAGAACACAGATCAGATACAAGTTCACTTCGATGGCTATGGCGACTCAGCGCCCACACAACTCTCTGTTCGCAYACACAGGATCACCCTGGATATCCCACACACGATACTCTGAACACACACACACACACACACACTGAACTCTAACTATAGCTATGTCGGCTATGGCCGCTACTACCCTATCGGTATGGCTACACTCCTCTCTCGCCCACTTCGTCCTCGGGCTCACTGCAGACCACCTCGCACAAGTCGCTTGTGGCAGCGCTTCTGCATGGCTCACGCAGGAATGAATGAATGACTGGGCACTGCCTCTTGATTTATACTTCTGCAGCTCGTTGGTCTGGCCCTTTTCCCATGCCCGTAGTGCACACAGTCCCATGCGGTACTTGCTTGACTGGACCAGGACTGCWTAGGACTGGGACTGTTGACTCRGSAYRGGTAGACTCCACCACTTGCCCACTTGCCTCACCACTTGCCCACTTGCCTCACCACTTGCCCACTTGCCTCAGCCTAAACGTGGGCAACTTCGAAAGGCCACTACTCGGACCTTCCGGAAGGCCGTAGACTTGGCCTTTCGATACCGTAGCAGCTACGACCTTGACCTTTCTGGACTGTAGCAGCTACGACCTTGACCCTTCTGGACTGTAGCAGCTACGACCTTGACCCTTCGAGACAGCTACAGCTACGACTGCTAGACCTGCTGGGACTCCTATTCGACAGGTCTCCAGATCGAACCCCTGCTACATATGGACCCTACGACAACCTACCAGCTGTTACAGGTCACAGGTTCAACTCTAGGGGTCGACACAGATACTGTACACAATTAAGGTGGGGACTACGGATCGAGCCCTGGGATCTGCATCAGCTACTGCAAACTGGTGAATACCGTTTCACTACCGCCGGCCTAAATTCGAGGTCCTCCGAGAATAACTCAGTCCAAGGCAGGACCTTTACCTCTCTGACCTCTTTCGTAGGCTCTAACTATATCGGGAGTTGTCTCTGGAAGTTCTGCTCTAGTGAACCAGCGGTCATCCTCCGGCTCCTGATAAGTAAAACGGACCTTATACTGTTTCTGTGGACGACCTCTACCTCCTGTTCTGAACAAATCTTCACCTACAATGCCGTCAATGTCATATCTCCCGTCCATGTCTGGAGGGATCATGGACCGTCTAGATGGAAATTGTTGACTGGTGACACACAACAACAATTTTGATGCGTGAAACACAGGGTAGGTGTGGAGGTGTGTTGGGATCTCTATAGTATAGGATGGCCCATCCTCTCCGCCCTTAACTTCTAGAACTGGCTACGGTCCTCTATACGCGGGCAGTAACTTCTGCGAGATGTTCTCCTCAGGTGCAAACTCTCTAGACTTGACCCAGACCAGGTCGCCTACCTGAAACTGCGATGGGCGACGGTGCTTATTAGCCTGTTCTATCATTCGGTGCTGGGCCTTCCTGAGGTTTTCAACAACAGTGGCTATCTCTTTCTCGTGCTGTATTGCAAACTCCCTAGTACCGGGCGGTAGCCTGTGAATCTGATCCCGGTTAAGTCCCTCAAACGGTCTACGGGGTCTAAAGGACTTGTGCAACTCGTTGGGAGTGCGACAGGTGGACAAATGCACGCTGTTATTGTATGCACTGGCTACCTTGGGTAACATCTCGTCCCAGTTAATCTATATCCGGTCTAATGTACATGCGTAGAACTTGCTGCAGGATCTTGTTCATCTGCTCGGTCTGAGCGTTAGTCTCTGGATGGCGGCCAAATGACATCAACAACTTAGATCCATAGACTCTCATCAGTTCCTGCCAGTTCTGGCTAGTGAAGCGGGTGTCTCTATCACTAACGATAGACAATGGGACGCCATGCTCGCTAACCCAAAAGTCGAAAAACTTCTGAATAACTAACTCGGTACGTGTCTTTGCAGGCAAAGGAACAAAAATAGCATACTTGCTAAATCTATTAACTACTTGGCTCTTGCCGTGTCTACTCTTGACACCGGCATCCATGAAGTCAATGAGACTGAATCTCCAGGCTGGTTTGGAATGGGCAAGGGTCTGAGAAGACCTAGAGGGGCATGTGTAGTAGTCTTGTTCCTCTGACAGACTTCACAGTTGCGGAGGTACTCTATGCAGTCGTTTTTCATTCCTGGCCATGTGTACGGGTGCA